CTCTTACGTCTTGCCTCTGCCTTGAGCTCGGTTAGGCTCATTGACGTCGATCCTTTTTGCCGGTACAGGGTTCTTCGTTCTTCGGCTAGTACTTTGATCGGCATCATTCCGGCTATGACACACACGGCATCATCAGACACAGTACGAAATGCGCTGGAAACTCTGAGGGCACTCAGTCGGTAGACAGCTGCCACTTTGCGTCGGGTCTCTTGTACTTGGAGCGCATCCACCCAAAATCACCTAATCACCGACGACAATAACGTTCGTCTTCTCTGCTTGGGACCTCCAATGTTGGACATGAGGCGTGATAAGGCTGCTTGAACCCCAGATGCTTTGGTAGTGACGTGTTCTACTTGCTACTTGAAGTTGAGCCGAGCATCGATTATCACCCCCAAGTACCGAATATACGGTTGGGAAGTGAGCTCATAGTCCCCGAGTTACAGCGTGATTATCTCTAAGACCTTCCTGCTTGTAATCAACACGGCCTCCTCTTTATGCTCAGCAAGGCTCAGACCAACTGAGTCCATCCAACGGCGAACCACTTCGAAAGTCATTTCGAAAGCAAGTTTGATGTCCTCCAGATGTTTTCCCATGATCACTACGGCCACGTCATCCGCAAAAGCCACGAGACTCACATCGGGTGGCAGAGTTAGCTTCAGCAGGTCATCGTACATGATATTCCACAGAAGAAGGCCCAATACCGAGTCCTGAGGCACCCATCCAGTGACTCTGTATTCTTTGGGGCCACTCTCCGTATCATACTTGAGAAACCTCCCATTGAAGTAATCGTCCACTATCCTCCGTAGGTATTCAGGTACACCAAACCTCTCGAGGGCCTCCATAATACAGTCCTATCTGGCTGAGTTGAAGGCTTTCCTGATATCCAGTGTCGCTACTAAGCAGTACTTCTTCGTGCCTCTATACCACCTCTTCCCTGGAATCGCTTCTCTAGCTGTATTAGCAACTAGATTAATGGCTTCAAGGGTGGATCGACCTCTGCGAAATCCGTACTGGTTGTTGGCCAGCAATGGTTCAACTGCTGCTTCTATTCTCCTGTGGATGATGCGCTCGAGGATCTTACCAGCTGTGTCGAGCATGCAGAAGGGACGATAGGATGAAGGTCCGTCCGGTGGCTTTTTCCCTTTCGGGAGCAACAGCAGGCTCTGCTGCTTCCACTTTGCAGGGAAGATGCCTTCGCTGAGACACTCGTTAAACACCTCCAAGAAAAGGCCCGGCAAAGCATGGATAGCGGCTTTCAGCGCAATATTAGGAATCCCATCAAGACTGGGGGCCTTGGTATTCCCGACTCAATCACATACCTCCATTAGCTCATCCTCCGTGATTGGTGGAACCAATAAATTATTTCCTTTGTTTGTTGGCACGTTGGAATTCCTGTTGTTGTGGGAAGAGCAATCTTCTCCAGGAGATCAGGACACGTCGGCGATGGCATGGGCTGGCTTTTAAGCTGCGTCATCACCACCTTATACCGCCTGCCCCGCGGATCGCCTCCCACCTCAGCAGTCAGCTCATTCCAGGAGTGTGCTTTGCTGCGCTTGATGGCCTTATTGAGCTTGTGGCGTGACTTCTTGTACCTCATCTCCAGTTCCTCGAAGTTTGGCTTCTTCCGGGCGCGCTAAGATGATCTTCTTGCCGCATTACATTCTTTACGCAAATTCGCGATGGTATCATTCCACCAATATACCGGCGGCTACCGGGTAGAGGCTCGCTTCCTGGGCATGGTGGCGTCGCAAGCTTCTGTGAGTCTCCTCATGATGTTCGCGGCCTTCTCAGTGGCATTACTGCCACTGATTGGGCGATCATCCGGGGCCACTAAATAAAGGCTGGGATCGAAAGAGCTCACTTTCCAACTGACTGCGTTGGTCTGTTCCGGTGCGGGTCCACGTCTCTGGCCGGTGGAAACCTCCCAGAGTATCGCACGGTGGTCGCTCGCTGTGTATATTTCAGTTACCTCCCATGAGCAGTTTCCTCTTGCCAGGTTGCTGCTCACGAAGGTAAGATCCACGATGGAGCTTGCTTCTCCTCTCATGAAAGTCGGTTCCTCGCCGCTGTTAAGCAAGACCGAGCGATGACATGGCCTCCAGTATGGCTTGTCCTTTGGCATTGGTGTCTTTACTTCCCCAGTCTACTGCCCAGGCATTGAAGACCCCGGCGATTGCCACGGGAAAGTGCTGCTTCGCATCCTCGGTCAGTCTATCTAGGAAATCGGTGAAATCGTCGATCGGAAGACTCGGTGGGCCATAACAGCTGTAGACATAGATGTCACCAACATTAGCCCTCACAAAGCTGTACTCGTTGTTAGTGCTGGTGCTCTCGAAAGGTCGATTCCCACAAGCCCAGATGACAGCTTTCTTGCTAGTGTCAGTAACCCAGGGTTGGGTGCCAAGATGCCTATGTGGCTCTGAGATGCAGACAAGATTGACCTTTCGCTCCCGCTCCGTCTGCATAAGCAGATCGTATGCGGCCTCACAATGGTTGAGGTTGAGCTGTAGCATCTTCATCGTCGTTTGTTGGTTAACTTCTGTAGCGCCTCCTGATAAACTGGGCACCTCGTGTTGCCAGCAATATAAGCGCAGTTCTCCGTGCTCCCTTTCTCAGTGCACAAGGCACAGTTGGGTTCCTTTTTGCCGGCAGCTACGGTGTGGCCCGGCTCAGCGCATTTGACGCAAGTCTTGGACCGATCGACCCCAGTCTTGCATTTGGTGCCGAGATGGCCATAGTGCCAGCACTTGAAGCACTTGAATGGCCTCTCTACTCATCTCACTCAGCAATTGACCTAGTCTATTTTAATCTTCCCGTGCTTCCCCAGGATCTTCTTCGCTGTCGTAGCTGTGAGTCTCTCTGAGGCAGTCTGGATACCTCCGTAAACTTTACGAAGGGATTTGACCGCATCCGCTTGGATCTCGTGTTCCTCCCCAGCTGCTACTCTTAGGGCTTCGATGACATCCTCCTTCGATGTTGTTTCGTCCAGATCTTTGATCTCGAGATCTTCTTGTGGCCCCTTACTGAGCACCTCAGTCTCATCTTCAAGGAGATTGACGATAGCCTAACGCAGCTTAGGTGCTCCATCAGTCGTCTTCCTGCTAAGGATGATCAGCATATCCCCGGTTGCTATACGGCGGATGTTATCGACACAACCGCTAGCGTCCTCGGAGCGAACAGCCTTCTTCACCCGGCGTAGTATATCCGAGTACTTCTCCTTGTCTTTGGGGCATATGATCAGCGCATCAGGTCGCATCGCTGATTTCCAAGTAGCCCTTTCCTGTTTCTTTTTTTCCTTCGTCTTTTTGGGAGGCGGCTGTAGATGGAGCTGTCCGGCCTGCCTCTTTTTCTCCTTCTTCTTCTTCTTTACCAGCGTCAATTCAGGATTAGCAGGTGAATCGAAAGATACCACAGTCTGCGGGGCTGCCTTGCTGGTCAGATCCTATTGTTTCAGCTTCTTCAATGTTTGAGTTTCTGCCGCATCTGAGCCTTTCGAGCGCTTTCTCCGCACTGCTTTTCGGACATCTCGGGCCGACTGCATGGTATTCGGATCCTCTAAATCCGAGTCCTTTGCCGTCGTTCCAGAGTCCGTCCGTAAACGCAACGTGAGTGGTGCTGGTGGAGTTTGCACGGGTTTGGTAAAGGAGAGTCGTGCTTTAGTGCGTACCTCCTCCAAGCTCTTGAGTCGTCTGTACGCGCTGCCGATCGATGCCACCCTGGATTTGATTTCCTTGTGGACATTTATCTTAGGCTGGACAAACTCATGTAACTCTGTGATGAGTTTCTCGAGTCGTGCCCATGCGTAACGACATTCTATCACGTGTTGAGTCTGTGATACATCTCTCCTTATAGCATCTGAGGCCAAGGAGTCCACCTGTAACGACTGTGATGATTGGCTCCTCCCATAATCCATGGAGCCGGCATCAGAACTGATGGCGGGATTCTCCTTATTAAGGCTACTCGCATGGAAAATTTCAATTTTGTCATCACTCATCATTTTTCTACAAGCTGTTATCGGGAGCCTGATCCGGAGGTGTTCTAGAGAGCCCACCGTGCACACCTCTTTTAGAGTTGGGTTTCCCCGGAAGGTGTTGGTTTGCGTCGACGTATTTTATTTAGTCGATATCCTATATTCTGAACGGCAATTCAGAATATCGGGATTTCTCCTATCCACCACCTGGATACGCATTACGTTGCAGTCACTTTCTTCATGATGTTATGTGCCTTCTCAGCAGCATTGCTGCCACTAATTGGAAGATCATCTAGCGCAACTGAATAAGTGCTAGGATCAAAGGTGCTCACCCTCCAGCTAATGCAGTTGGTCTTTTTCGGCGTTAAACCGATTTTCTGATCGGTGCAGGTCTCCCAAAGTCTGATCGGTGCAGGTCTCACAACATAGCCCGGTGGTCGCTCGCAGTGTAGATGTCAGTTACTCTCCATGAGCAGTTCCTCTTGGCAGGGCACTGCTCACGAAAGTTAGGTCCACTATAGAGCTTGCCTCTCCCTTAACAAAGGTCGGTTCAGTTCCGCTGTTCAACAAGACCACGTCCAGTAACGACATAGCTTTTAGTACAGCTCGTCCCTTGGTGTTCGTCTTCTTACTCCCCCAGTCGACTGCCCAGGCATTGAAGTCTCCAGCGATTGCCACGGGGAAGTGCTGCTTCGCATTCTCAGTCAGTGCGTCCAGGATATCAGCGAACTCGTCGATGGAAAGGCTCGGCGGGGCATAACAGCTGTAGAAGTAAATTCTATCAACTTTCGCCTTCACGAAGCCCCTCTCTGTATTACTCGTAGAACTCTGGAATGGTCGATTCCAACAGGACCAGATTACCGCCTTCTTGGTGACGTCAGTAACCCAGGGTTTAGTGTCCAGGTGACGATATGGCTCTGAGATCATGACGAGGTCAACTTTCATCTCCCGTACCGTTTGCATGTGCAGATCATGTGCGTCTCCACAATGGTTGAGATTGAGCTGTAGCACCTTACAGTTTCTTCGTTTCTTATCGCCTTTTATTAGCAAGCTTCTGGAGTGCATCCTTGTATGCTGGGCACCTGGTGCTGCCAGCAACGTGGGCATAGTTCTGCAAGTTGCCATTCTCAGTGCACAGGGCACACCGTAGTTCCTTCTTCGTGCACTCCTTCGCTTTGTGACCATCCTCTGCGCATTTAACGCAGACTCTGGACCGGTCGACTGCACTCGTGCATTTCGTGGCGAGATGTCCATAGTGCCAGCACTTAAAACACTTCATCGGTCTCTCCACTCTTCTGATACGGCAATTGACCCATCCGATCTTGATCTTACCGTGCTCTCCCAGGATCTTCTTCGCAGCAGATGCTGTGAGTGTCACTGAGGCAGTCCGTGTTCCTCCATATGCAATACGCAAAGACTTGACGGCCTCAAGAGCTATGGCATTCTCCTCACCGTCTACTTTTTGTAGGGCTTCGAGGACGTCCTCCTTCGATGTATCTTCGTCCAAATCTTTAATCTCAAGATTTTCGAGCGGCTCCTTGCTGAGCACCACAGCCTCCTCTTTGAGGAGACCGGGGATGGCTGATCTCAGCTGGGGGGCTCCATCAGTTGCTTCCTTGCTCAGAGTGATCAGCATGTCTCCAGTCTCTGTACGTCGGATCCTTTCGACGTTTTCTCTGGACTGATTGCAGTTGCCATCCTTCTTAACCCGACTGAGGATCTCCGCATAATTCGCCTTATCTTTGAGGCGGACAATAAGCGCGTTCGGCCTAGATGTTGGCTTCCACGTGACCTTCTTCTCCACCTTCCGGGCTGTTTTTGGCTTCGTTGCTTCGACGGACCTTTCCCTTTCCTGCCCTTCACTTCTTGCCAGTCCAGCGGTCCGGCAGGCGGCTTCGTAGATGAAGCTGCTTTGTCAGTCATCTCCCTGCGCTTCATCTTCTTCACCGTTTTGTCTTTCGTCTCAGGTGAAGTCTTTGGGCGCTTCCTGTGTAACGCTTTGCGAACATTTCGAATGTCTCGCGTGAACTGTGAGGCATTCCCCAAGTCTCCTACTTCCGAATCTGCTATCGTTCGGTGCAGATTCGTCGACTTCAGCAGTCTCTGGCCTCCTGAGTTGTGCCTGTGCTTCATGTATCGACCTAAGTCGCTTGGCGGAAGACTGGATAGTCCTAACTAGCTGGCGGATGTTCTCGTTTATAGATCGCTTGGTCTTGTTTACTACCTTAGAGAACAGATCTTTAATTAGCTGATCGTGACGATCCCATGCCTGCTTCTGTTGGGCTAGTTCACTTTCCGTCATGAACTGGGTCCCTTGTTGAGTCTGTGACCCCTACCCCTCTTGTAGCAGCTGAGGCCAAGAGGTCCACCTTTGCTGAATGTGATGATTGGCTCCTCCCATAATCCACGGAGCCGGCATCAGAAATGATGGCGGGATTCGCCTTGTTAAGGCTACCCGCATGGGAACTTTCTATTTTGTCATCACTCATCATTTTTACACTAGCTGTTTTCGGCTGCCTGACCCCCGTATACCCCCGTATTCTAGGGAGCCCACCCTGCACACCTCTTTTAGAGTTGGATTTCTCGGGAGGTGTTGGTTCGCACCGACGTATTTTATTTAGTCGATACCCTATATTCTGAAGGGCAGTTCAGAATATCGAGCATTCCCCCATGCACCACCTGGGGACGCGCCACGTTGCAGGACCTTCCAACCTGCGAAAACTCTCGGAGGGTAAAGGCGTTCCTCGCCGAAAGGATCCGTGGCCTGTATATATGTGTGTCTCTATATGTGTGTATGTGTGTGTGCGCGCGCGTTTGTGTGCGTATGTGTGCACATTTGTGTGTGTGTGTTTTTTTTTCTCTCGACGTCATGGTCTGGAAAATGCTCTTTATGCACGTTGTGCCCGAGTCGATCAGGTCTTGACCATAACGACCGCAAGCCCAGGTCTCACTCCCGGTTATTGGACCTGCTTTCAGCTCGGCAAATTTGCAACACATACGGACTAAAAAGCAGACCACGACCCTGTAATTCTTCACTTTTTCTTCCCCTCGAGAAACCACCGTTAGATATTATTTCGCGAGGGAAGACTCAGCTATGTGCACTTCCTTCTTTGAACTCAATGTACATCCCCCTTCCCTACTGAGATGTTCTGTGTAGGTAGGAGGTTCCATTGGGTTCTGTGTCTATTCTGCAGATTTACGTTTGCGTTCCTCATTCCTCAGCTCCTTCATGACCATAGCCGCGAAGTTACTCATTGCTGCCCAAGCTGCCTGTGATGACAGTAAAACTCCCATCAGGTTCTCAGGCAGAGCCTGCCTTCCATGTGTTACTTCCCAGCCTCTCCGAGCCTCACTAAAAGGTGGGCATATGAAGAACACGTGTTCCGCGTCCTCGTCTACTTCTATGCACTTCGGAGAATCTTCGTGTTTGAATTTGTAGAGATAGGCCCTGAAACACCCATGCCCCGCGAGCATCTGTGTCAGGTAATAATCAACCTTTCCATGTTCACGATGGAGCCAGGCATCCACATTTGGGATCAGGTGATGAGTCCATGTCCCTTTAGTTGATGTGTCCCAATTCAGCTGTCATCAGCGTATGCTGCCTAGTCTCGCTTCTGCCGCCAGTTCTTCGGAGCTCAGCGTTTCTGATCCCTTCCCCTGGTAGAGGGATCTTCGTTCCATAGCTAGTAGCTCTATCGGTATCATCCCGGCGATGACATAAACTGCATCCTCAGATACGGTCCGATATGCACTTGCAACTCTAAGGGCGCTCAGCCGATAGACTAGTGCGAACCTGCGGCGCGCTTTTTGCAACTGGAGTACGTCGGCCCAGATGGCACTGCCATATGTAAGCACCGACGTTACGACTGAAGACAGCAACGCTCGTCTTCTTTGCTTGGGGACACCGATATTAGGCATGAGGCGTGATAAGCTGGATCTGACTCCAGACGCCTTGGCACCTACATGCACTGCCTGCTGCTTAAAGTTGAGTCGGGCATCGATCATCACCCCCAGGTATTGGATGAATGGCTGAGATGTGAGTTCGGTATCGCCGACTCGCAGCGTGATCGTTTCTAGTTTCTTGCGGCTCGTGATGAGAACTGCCTCGGTCTTGTGCTCAGCAACCTGCAGGCTGACTGCGTCCATCCATCGTTTAATACGCTGGAACGTCCTGTCGAAGATGTAGTTAATCTCCTCCAGGGTTTTAGCCACGATGGTTACTGCCACATCATCAGTAAAAGCGACGAGTCGCGCTCCGCCTAGTAGCGCCGTCTTCAGCAACCCATCGTACATGACGTTCCACAGTAGAGGGGCCAGCACAGATCCTTGAGGTACTCCTCCAGTAATTCTGTATTCCCTCGGACCAGCCTCTGTGTCGTACTTGAGTATTTAATCTGTGAAGTAGCTATCCATCATTCGTCGTAAGTATTCCGGTACATGCATTCCGACCAAGGCTTCCAAAATCAGGCTCCACCTAACTGAACTGAATGCATTCTTGATGCCTAGTGTTGCCACTATAGAGTATTCTTTGGTGCCACCTTTCCCATCTCGTGCTGGAAATTGCTCGTTTGGCGGTCTTGACGTCTCGCGTCAAGCGTTGAGCGATTTCGCCGGAAACCATATTGGTTATCGGTCAGCAGGGGGTCGACGACCTCTTCTATTCTTCGATGGGCAATGCGTTCCAGGATTTTGCCTACCGTATCCAGCATGCAGAGTGGACGATATGATGATGGTTCATCAGGCGGTTTCTTCCCTTTGGGTAAAAGCACGAGTCTCTACTGCTTCCACCTGGTAGGAAAGATGCCCTCTCGAAGGTATGCATTGTATGCATCTAGGAACAGCTTCGGTGCTGCTTTAACGGCCGCTTTAAAGGCGATGCTGGGTACTCCATCAAGACCAGGGGCCTTGTTTTTTCCCACTCTGTCGCAGGCTTCCATCAGCTGCTCCAGCATAACTGGTGAAATCGACTCCACATCGCATTCATCAAGATGTTGTTGGGCCGTTTCCGGCTGTTGCGGAAACAAAGCCGTGACTATCTTCTCGAGGAGATTGGGGCACGATGGTGATGGCATTGGCTGAGTCTTGAGCCGTGTCATGACCACCTTATATGGTCAGCCCCATGGATCACGGTCGACCTCTTCCAGGAGCTCGTTCCAACAGTTCCTCTTGCTATTCTTGATGGCCTTAGTGAGCTTTCGCCAAGTCGCTCTATACATTGCATCCAGGGATGCAAAAGTCGGCTTCTTCCTTGCGCGTTGTGCAGACCTCGCTGAGATACACTCCTTGCGGAGATTCGCGATTTGGTCATTCCACCAGTGCACCGGCGGTCGTTGATACCCGCTGCGTTTCCACGGCATGGTCGCACCACAAGCGTCGGTAACTCTTTTCATGAGCTTACCTACCTTCTCCGTAGTATTGCCCTTGCCTAGCGGATTGGTGTCCAATGCTACCAGGTATGTGGTCAGCTCAAAACCACTCACTTTCCAACCGATCGAGTTTGTTTTCCTCATTGCCGGTCTTGTTCTCTTATTTGGTGTTACCTCCCATAGTAAAGCTCGATGATCATTGGTTGTGTAGGTGCCACTCAGCTCCCATGAGCAGTTTCTTGTAGTTAGGTTACCACTCACGAAAGTGAGGTCTACGATGGAGCTTGCTTCGCCTCTTGCAAATGTGGGTTCGTCACCGCTGTTCAGGAGGACCACGTCCAGCACAGACATGGCTTTCAGTAGTGCTTGACCTTTTGCATTGGTCTCTTTGCTGCCCTAGTCAACTGCCCAGGAGTTGAAGTCCCCCGCGATTGCCACCGGGGAGTACTGCTTCGTATCCTCTACCAGTCGGTCCAGAAAGTCCGTAAATGCATCAAGGGAGAGACTGGGTGGAGCATAACAGCTATAGAAGTAAATTCCACACAACTTGGCTGTCACAAAACCAGCTTCCCCCCTATTGGCACTGCCCTGAAGTGGATACTGTCCACAAGACCAAATGACGGCCCTGGAACTGGCATCGGCTACCCAGGGTTGAGTGTCCAATTGTTTGTACGGCTCCGAAATAATCGCAATGTACGCCTTCAGCTCTCACACCGTCTGCATGAGCAGATCATGTGCGGCCTCACAGTGGTTGAGGTTCACCTGCAAGATACGCACTATTGCTTAGCGCGGATCTTCTGGAGTGCCTCCTGGTAGACTGGGCATTTACTGCTACCAGCGATATGGGCACTATTCTTCGTGGGGTCTTTTCCTGCGCACAGGACGCAGCTGGCAGTTTTCTCGCACTCAGCGGTGCTTGCCCCTCCGCATTTGGCACAGTGTTTCGATCGGTTGATCTCGCTCCTGCACCTCGCGACGAGGTATCCATAATGCCAACATTTGAAGCATTTTAGGAGTCTCACCACTGCCACCACGCGGCAGTTGACCCAGCCAATTCCGATTATCCCTCGCTCGCCTAAGATCCTCCTTGCGACAGGTGCAGGAAGTGTCACTAAGGCAGCTTAGGTTCCTCTATATGCCCGGCGCAGCGATTTGATGGCCTGCAGTGTGATTTCACTGCTGTCGCCATCTGCTTTCCGCAAGGCATCGAGGACGTCTTCCTTCGAGGTTTCCTCATCAAGGTCTTTGATCTCGAGCTCTTCTTGTGGGCCTTTATTCTGTACTTGGACCGATTCTCCAAGAATCTTGGAAACGGCCTTCTCCAGGTCCTGGCTTTCCCTTTCAGTTCCTTTGGACAGGATGATAAGTAGGTCGCCTGAGGCCGTTCTACGTATTTTATCGACACACGTAGCTGCTGTTTCAGCAGGTACCTCCTTCTTTATGTGGCTTAACACCTCCGAGTACTTCGCTTTATCCGTTGGACGGATGATCAGCGTGTTTGGCCTGACATTCGGCTTCTTCTGGGCCTGCTTTTAGCTCGGGTTTCTCCGTGGCAGCTTTGGGGTCGGGTCACCTCTCTTTCTCCGACGCTTTCACTTCTGCCAGCCCTCATCCACTTCGGTCTCGTCTTGTTTGGTCCTGCAATGACAAACATTGACCTTCGCAATGACTTCTCAATGTCAGGTTCATCCTTGTTCTTCTTGTCCTCCTGACTTGGTTTCGTGTCCCGCTTAGGTGGGGTCGGAGTCTTTTTTGGGCCGCTTGAGCGTATCGGAATACGTTCCAGGTGAATCACGGTTCTTCTTCTTGCTGGTCCCAGGATCCTCGCTCTTGTGGTCTTATGGCCCTTCTTGAATCTCTACCTCTTTCGATGTTGGTTCATCGGGTACAACTTTCATCGGCACCATTCGTGCTGCCTGGGCTTCGTGCATCGACCTAAGTCGCCTAGCAGAAGCCTGAATCTTCAAAACAAGCTGGCGGATGCTCTCATTTATAGTTCGCTTATTCTTGTCTGCTACCTGGGAGTGCAGATCTCTAATAATCTATTCATGGCGATCCCACTCCTGTTTCTGACTCCTTCCGTCTTTTGGCGTCGTGACGTGTGTCACCTGTTGAATATGTGGCTCTGCCCCACTTGTAACATAAGAGGTCAAGTGGTCCACCTTTGTTCCAATAAAATGATGATTGGCTTTTCCCATATCCATGAAGCCAGCATCAGCATTAGCGCTGATGGCAGGATTCTCCCTTAGCGGGCTACCTACATGAGAACACTTTATGTTATCATCACTCATCATGGTTCTACGAGTTGTTATCGGGAGCCTGCCCCGGGGGTATTCTAGGGAGCCCACCCTGCACACCTCTTTCAGAGTTGGGTTTCTCGGAGGGTGTTGGTTCACACCGACGTATTTTATTTAGTCGATACCCTATATTCAGAATATCGAGATTTCTCCTGTCCACCATCTGGATACGCGCCACGTTGCAGTACCTTCCAGCCTGCGAAGCTTTCAAAAAGTAAAGGTGTTCCTTACTGAGAGGATCTGTGGTGCACATATGTGTTTTTTTTCTACGTCATGGTCTGGAAAATGCTCTTTACGCACGTTGTGCCCAAGTCGGTTAGGTCTTGACCGTAACTCTGGCAGCTCTCTCATCAGGTGGTTGAAGACAATGCTTCCTTCTTCTCGGTTGTTTTCATTACTTCCTTCTGGCCTGCTCCTCGCGTCGAAGTTCTTTCAGAACTTCGGCTGCAAACGTGTTCGTAGTATCCCATGCTGCTTTCGATGAAATCATGACTTTCACTAGGTCTTCAGGTGGGACCCTCTGTTTCACTGCAGTCTCCCAACTACTGCGAAGCCATGCGAAGCGTTTGCACCTGAAAAACACGTGCTCAGCATCTTCTCCTTCTCCACTGCAGGTCGGGCAGTCTGGGGTCTCTTCAAGTTTGAATTTATGGAGATACTTCCGGAAGCATCCGTGTCCTGAGAGCGTCTACGTCAGATAGTAGTTGACCTCTCCGTGGGAACGGTTCAGCCAAATATCTAACTGTTTGGTATACCATCTGGACCAGGGGCTTTGGTATTGCCTACTCTACCGCATGCTTCCATCAGTTCATCTTCTGTGATAGGCGGGATGGCCTCCACCTCACATTGTCTTGATAGCCGGTTGAGCTCTCTTTGTTGAGGGAACAGCACCGAGACGATCTTTTCCAGGAGCTGGGGACATGTCGATGAGGGCATCTGACTTCTCAGCCGCGACATCACGACCTTATAGGGCCTTCCCCATGTATCATCCTCAACTCCATCCACTAGCTCCTTCCAGGCTTGCCTCTTGCGGCACTTTATTGTCTTGTTCAGTTCTCGGCGAGCACTCTTGTATTGGGCCTCTAGTTCTTCGGAGTTTGGCCTTTTCCTGCTACGTTGTGATAACCTCCTCGCGCTGAGACACTCCTTACGGAGGGTAGGAATTCGATCATTCCACCAATGTACCGGTGGGAGCCGGCTTTGAGTGCGCTTTCGAGGCAGGCTAGCATCGCAAGCGTCTGTGACTCTCCTCATGATCTCGCTGACCTTCTCCATGGCATTTCTACCATCGATTGGGCGAGCGTCCAGCGCAACCAAAAACGTGTCAAGGTCGAAGTTGCTAACCTTCCAGCCAATTGTATTGGTTTTCGGGCATGCTTCTCCAATCCTCTGAACCGTCGATACCTCCCATAGTATTGCACAGTGGTCACTGGCTGTGTAGACGTCTGCCACTTCCCAGGAGTAATTCCCCCTCACGAGGGCACTGCTCACAAAGGTCAGGTCCACAATCGAACTTGCCTCTCCCCGCATGAATGTTGGTTTTTCGCCACTATTGAGGAGAACTACATCTATGGTTGACATAGCCTCCGGTAGTGCTCGTCCCCTTACGTTGGTGTACCTGCTGCCCCAGTCGACCGCCCAGGAATTGAAGTCTCCGGCAACTGCCTCAGGAAAGGAAATCGGTGACTCATGAGTGAACTCATCGAAAGTGAGGCTGGGTGGAGCATAACACCTGTAGAAACGAATTCCCTCCAGCTTAGCCGCCACAAAGTACGCCTCTCCACAATTGATCACGCTCTGGAACGGACACATACCACAGGACCAAATAACGGCCCTAGTGGTGGTATCCGTTACCCACGGTTGTATGGCCAGGTGTCTATACGGCTGCGAGATCAGTGCCAGGTCTATTTCCAGCTCACGCACCGTCTGCATAAGCAGATCATGTGCGGCCTCACAGTGATTGAGGTTCAGCTGGAGTACCCTCATCTTCGTTTGTTGCACATCTTCTGGTATGCTTCCCTGTAGACCGGGCATCTACTGCTGCCAGCTACATGGACAAGATTTTCCATGTTCCCTTTCTCAACGCACAGAGCGCATCGGGCATCCTTCTGGCAGTCAGCAGACTTATGGCCCGTTTCTCCGCATCTGATACAGAGTTTTGCTCGGTCTGCTGTGTTCGTGCATCTGGTGGACAGGTGTCTATAGTGCCAGTACTTGAAGCACTTTACAGGTCTCTCCACTCTTCTTATCCGGCAATTGGTCCACTCTATGCGGATCTTACCGTGCTCACCTACGACCTTCGCAGCCAGCGTTGCTGCCAGCGCTACCGAGGCAGTTTGGGTGCCCCTGTATGCTTTGCGCAGCGACTTCATAGCATCGACGGTGATATCGCATCCCTCCCCGGCTGCCCTTTAGAGTGCTGCGAGAACTTCCTCCTTAGTCGTGGTCTCCTCAATGTCCCTAATCTCAAGCTCCTCTTGGGGCCCCTTACTGATGACTTCAGCATCATCCCCGAGGACATCAGTTATGGCCTTCTGTAGGTCATGTCCTTTATCGGCTGTATCCTTTGTCAGGATAATCAACAGATCTCCAGTGATTTTTCTCCTGATTTTCCCAACACAGGCGGTGGCCTGTTCGGCGGAAACATCCTTCTTCACCCGCCGTAACATCACCGCATACTTCGTTTTGTCCTTGGGGCGAACAATCAGTGCATCAGATCTTGTCGATGTTTTGCGCGAGTTCTTCTGCTGCTGTGGTTTCTTTGGTGGCTGCGCTTTGCCTCGCTCCCCCTTCTTTCTCCCTCTCATAGTCTGCCAGTCCGTGTCCCTGGCAGTCTGCGCTGCATCCGTTCTCGTTGAAGGAGTTGGTCCTCCTGCCTTCGGCTTCTTCGGGGCCTCATTCTCGAGGCACAGTGAAGTTCGCTACCGCCGTTTGGCTCTGCGAATGTCCCGGCTATCCCCAGTGGTTGACCCCCCGTCGGCAGTCACTTCCGTGTCATGGGCAGACGTTTCGGTTGTCATTTCGCTCTCGTACTGGCACAGGCGTTCTCAAGGCTTGTGCAAAAGTGGTAGTCGGAGGTTGTTGTGTTGCCTCCCTGTCCACCAGCTCCTTGAGCCTTCTGAAGGCGGTCCTCGCGGAGACCACTTTTGATTTAATCTCCTTGTGGACATTTGTCTTCGGTTGGGTAAACTCGTGAAGCTCATTCAAGATCTTCTCGAGTCTCTCCCACGCTTGATGTGTCTGCATCGAGACAGTTGCACTAAGTGCTGCTTGTTGGGCATGCTGCCCGCTCATCCCTCCTATATCTTCCATTATTTTTGTTTCATAAGTTTCCTCCATTCTGTTCCCACGAGTACCTAGGGAAGTATAACAGTCCACTCCTGATAGAGCTCTGGGTGTAGGAGTAAGGCCACTTAATACACCTGGGGTGGGACCTGGTGCCCACCGTTCGCGACGCCAACTACCACTGGCGCCTTCCAGAACTTAGCATGGTGAACATCTTGACATTAGGGCAGGCTGTCGCAGGGAGCCCACCTTGCACACCTCCTTTGGAGTTGGACTTCTCTTCTATAATGTCCTGAAAAGGACAGACGTCGGTTCGAACTGCTTCTTAGTTTGAGAACATCCCTTGAGCCCCTCCACCGTCGACAAGGTGCTGCAGTTCGCAGGAGTGGATGTGTGGGTGTGTGTATGTGTGTTTTTTTTTTTTTTTTAGAGGTTTAGGAAAATCTTCAAAAGATTCTGGTAAAGTGATGTTAAAAACCAGATCTGGGATTTTTACCCAGTAAAAAACCTGTTTTCCTCTTTTTTACCTCTAATCATTCATTCCCATTTCCCTCGCGGCACCACCGTGAAGTATTACTTCGCGAGGGGGGTTCTCAGCTGTTTGCTCTTCCACTCTTTCCATCCAATGTACATCCCCCTAACCAGCTAAGATGTTATGTGTGATTAGTAGGTTCCAAATAGATTTCTCACCTATACTGCAACCTTGCGCGTGCATCCCTCGTTTCTGAGTTCCTTCATGACTTCCGCTGCAAAGTTGCTCGTTGCATCCCAGGCTGTCTGTGATGACAACATTGCTTCTACTAGATTCTCGGGCGAGACTTTTCTTCCCAGTTCAGTCTCCCAAGTATCCCGGATGTTACTGAAACGGGGGCATGTGAAGAATACGTGCTCCGCGTTCTCGTCCACTTCTGCGCAGGTGGGACACTTCGGGGAATCTTCATGTTTGAATTTATGAAGATATGTCCGGAAGCACCCATGTCCTGAAAGCATTTGACAAAGATAGTAGTTTATCTCTCCATGGTCTCGACTTACTCAGGCAGCCACTTGCGGGATCAGGCGATAGGTCCATCTCCCCTTGGTCGAATCGGACCATTTCTGCTGCCATCGGCTCAAGCTGTTTCGTCTCTCTTGGATTTTCAGTTCTTCGGGATTCAGCGCTTCTGTTCTCTTCCGTTGATACAGGGATCTTCGCTTCTCAGCTAATACCTCTATCGGTATCATACCTCAGATGACGCAGACTGCGTCCTCAGATATCGTCCGGTATGCACTCGCTACTCTGAGGGCACTCAGCCGATAGACAGGTGCAATTTTACGGCGAGCTTCTTGCAGCTGGAAAACGTCAGCCCAAATGAAAATACCATATGTAAGCACTGACGTCACCGCTGAAGACAGCAGCGCTCGTCTCCGTTGGTTAGGACCTCCGATATTCGGCATGAGGCGTGCTAAGGTGGATCTCACTCCAGATGCCTTGGTACCCACATACTCCGCTTGCTGCTTGAACATGAGTCGGGCATCGATCATTACTGCAAGATACCGAATAAACGGCTGAGATGTAGTTTGGTAGTCACCGACTTGCAGTGTGATACTCTCCAATTTCTTCCTACTAGTAATGAGCACCGCTTCCATTTTATGCTCTGCGAGTTGCAATCCAACTAAATCCATCCACTGACTTATCCTCCTGAATGTCGTATCGAAGATGGAGTTGATTTCCTCCAGGTGCTTCGCCACAATCACCACCGCCACGTCATCCACAAATGCCACGAGTCTCACCTCAGTTGGCAATGTTACCTTCAGCAATCCATCATACATGATATTCCACAAGAGAGGGCCCAGCACCGAGCCCTGTGGTACCCCTCCGGTGACTTGGTACTCTTTAGGGCCGCTCTCTGTGTCGTACTTGAGAATTCTGTCGGTGAGGTAGCTAGCTACCATCTTCCGCATATACCCTGAGACGATCATCCTCTTGAGAGCCTGTGTGTGTGTGTGTGTGTGTGTAGGTGTGTGTGTCGAAAAGTATAACAAATGCATCGAAAAGGACATACGCGGCTTTCTCTTCCAAAAAAGGTCTATTAGCACTTGTGACTCTTTGATTCTAAGGGGACGATATGAAGGTATCAACCGGGATTCCTAAGAAAAAAACACCCTTTTGATATAAAACAATTATTGAGAACAATGCCACTTACGACCTTTTCATTTTCTCAGACCGCTATACACTCTCGAATGATAACTCTTTATATAACTTTCATATGACGTCGATAACTCCCATATGACCATTATATGATCCTATCAAACTTTCACATGACTTACATATGATTGGCTATATATGACTATTCATTTCATTTTGTCATAATTTTTCCTATCTATTCAGCACCTCGATATATCCCTCTTTTTAGCAATATATATACACATATGCACACCTCTCTATGGTTGTTTAGAAATCTTTTTTTTTTATGCAAGTGATGATTTTTGGGGGAGGAAAAATTAGGCCCCCTGATTTGATCCCCTACATACGGACCTGTTCGATTACCATTATTAGACAATCGCGCAGTTACTGACGGCGCAACTGGCAATTTTTTAATTCCTAATGCAACCGCCAAACATGATGGCGTAAAATCGCTCAAGGGGAAAAAAATTATTACACCCGGACCTTAAGGGTTACTTTCTGTTTTCTTCGTTTTTCGTTTGAGGTACATTTATTCGGTTTGTCGTCTCTGAGGTGAAAGGACAGCTGGCGCCCATCGATAAGTTTTTTTTTGAGTTTTCTCATAGTCTAGGGGAAATCGGCGCGATAACGTGGTTTTCCAGGCTAAGATGGAAAATTCCATTACAGTTAGCTCAAAATACCGCACTGAATGGACCAATCAGTATATAGGACATTCCATGTCAACTCAGCCACCCTGGAATTTTTTGGTTCTTAGAATCTTGAATTAGTATGCTGCCAGTCAAGTACTACATGAGTACATACTTTCTCTAAATTGTCGCTCCTTTAACATTAATTCTTTGGCCAGAACAAATAACAAAACCCCAAATTTTTGAAAAATAATATTTTGCGAACAAATTGGCCCATTTTGATGAATAAAAAAAGATTTTTTTGGTTTTTTCATATACTTTTGGAATAAAAATACGACAGCACCACAAGAAAGAATGATGAATCATTTTTTAAGTTTTTTGTCATTTAAATACTTTTGTTGTGCAGGGGCCATTCGAAAATCGAATAATTTTTTTTTTCTTCGATGGATAATGATATTACTTAACTTTTTCGGGGTATTTCAAAATGGGATAGCCATATGGAGATGAGAGAAAATTTTTTTTCTCATGAAAAATTAGATTTTCCGAATTTTGTTCCTGAAAAATGATGAATGCTTCATGATAGGATGAGCGTGCAATTTTTCGGCATAATTTGAAGATGAGATGCATGAGTAGTGATGGATAAAAAATGTTTTTTATAGAAAAAAGGTGAATTTATTGATTATTAATAGCTCTACTTACGTAAACGACAATGAGAATTCGCAAATATTTGATGAGTTTTTAGATCAACATGGAGTATATGTCTGTTGTAAGTTTGTAATTTGAAAAATAAACATTAAATTATGGAGAAAAAGCAATTTGAAATCGAACTTTTCTGAATCACAATGGCTATCTTAATGTACGTCGTCCATTTCATTTCTTCGCCTTTGGAAAAACTTCTCCCGTAGTCGCAG